ATTCAGAAGGGTGTGCTGCTGCCCTTGCCTGAAGAGCAGTGATGAGTTCTTGAGCCCCCATACAAACCTCAGAACCATCTCCATTAGCTTTTGACCCCTGACTGTTATCAAGGATTGGGATGGAAATGTAAGATACCATCCCTCCTAAATATCTCAGAAGAGGGGTGTTGGTAGCCGATAGGTTCTTAAAATTACACGTAAAAGAATTTTTTTCTTCCATCTAGGAAGATGTTACCAAGTACTTCAGTGAATTCCCCAGTGCAGGGGAATGGAGTGTTGAATACCAGGGATGCAGCAAGACACACAGCTGGAGCAAAACGCTACAAATACCTGAGAAGACTTTTTCGTTTTCGGCAGATGGACTTTGAGTTTGCTGCATGGCAGATGCTCTACCTGTTTACTTCCCCACAGAGAGTTTATAGAAATTTTCATTATCGAAAGCAGACAAAGGATCAGTGGGCCAGAGATGACCCTGCTTTCTTGGTCCTGTTAAGTATTTGGCTCTGTGGTAAGTGTTAGTTTCTCTATAAGAGGGTTGAAGAACAAATTGAGTGTTTTAGATTGAATTTGTCATTTGCAGGATCTTTTGTTATAAACATATTGTGGGTCAGAATTTGGGATATTTGAATCTATTTCTTCCTTTCTGAAGCCTCAAAAATCTCACAAGAAAGAATGTTATATTCTTTCTGGTTCTAACGGTCCCAAGCAGATGCCAGAGTAAATTGTTCCCTTGAACTTTGAAAGGAAGAGGACAGAGTCACTCCGTGTCTTTATTTACCACTACTATGGTAAAAAATTGATACCAAATGCAAACTTTCTGTGAAAAGGAATATCAAGACTGGAAATTGCATTCCACAGGCAAAATCCAGAGTGAGAGCTCTAAAAATACCAATGTGAACTTGAGAAACTACTTTTAAGTTCTCCAATAAGGTAGTGTGAGAGTCCTAACCACCTTTAGGGTGTTAGATGTAAACATGTAAGATCTTTTTCACCTTTACCTGGACTTAAATATGTGAGTGCCTTTCCAGAACTAGTGGTATTTTAAATGTTGGGACCACTCTGGTGAACCATAGACGGTGGCCTCCACAGTAAACTTCAGATACCTCAGTAGCCATTCTGTGTTCCAGGGTAGTCTGCATTTCTCTGTTAGTTATATATACATATAACACGTCTTTGGGGTTTTGTTTACATGACTGTCTCCTCCACCACACGCGTGGGCATCTGGAGGGCAGGGATTGTGCCCCACATCCCCCAGAACTTAGCAGAGTACCTGAATTTATTATGTAAATCTTTGTTTCAGTGTCCACCATAGGATTTGGCTTTGTTCTGGACATGGGATTTTTTGAGACAATAAAGCTTCTCCTTTGGGTTGTATTCATAGATTGTGTAGGCGTTGGTCTTCTCATATCAACTTTAATGTGGTAAGTACCATAATATTAGTTTTTCAAGTACTGCTGTAGATCCTGCATTTGCTTCCTTTAGAGATAAAGTAGCTGATGTAAATTGAAATGAGATAGATGAATTGAAAGCATGAATTAAACATTTTTTTACTATTGATGGATAGTTGACATACGGTGTTACAGTAATTTCAGGTGTACAACACAGTGATTTGATAATTACATACATTGTGAAATGCTAAGTGTAGTGTCTGTCACCATGCAGTGTTGTTACAATATTACTGATGGCATTCCTTATGCTGTATTTTTTATCTTCGTGTCTGATTTATTTTATAACTGGAAGTTTGTACCTCTTAATCCCCTCCACTTATACCACCCATCCCCTCAACTCCATCTCCTCTACTAGTTCTCTGTATTTGTGAATCTGTTTCTGCTTTTTGTTCATTTTGTTTTTTAGTTTCCACATGTTCGTGAAATCATACCGTATTTGTCTTTTCTGACTTATTTCGCATTCCTCTAGGTCCATCTGTGTTGTCACTAATGGCAAGATCTCATTCTTTTTTGATGACCGAGTAATATTTCAGAATGTGTGCGTGTTTGTGTGTCTGTGTGTATGTATATATTTATACACCACATATCTTCTTTATCCATTCAACTATTGATGGACCCTCAGGTTGCTTCCGTATCTTGACTGTCGTAAATAATGCTGCAATAGATATTTGTGTGCATATAACTTTTCAAATTAGTGTTTTCATTTTCTTTGGCTAAATACCCAGTATTGGTATTGCTGGATCATATGGTATTTCTGTTTGTAATTTTTTGATAAGCCTCCATAATGTTTTCCACAGTGGTAGCTCCAGATTACATTCCTACTGGCAGTACATAAGGGTTCCCTTTTCTGCACATCCTTGCCAACACCGGTTATTTCTTATATTTTTGATACTACCCATTCTGACAGGTGTAAGGTGATATCTCATTGTGGTTTTGATTTGCATTTCCCTGATGACGAGTGATATTGAGCAACTTTTCATATTTTATTGGCCATTTGTATTTCTTCTTTGGAAAAATGATCAGGTCCTCTGCCCACTTTTTAATTGGATTTTTTTTGGTGTTGAGTTGTGTAAGTTCTTTATATATTTTGGATACTAACCCCCTATCAGATATATCATTTGCAAATATCTTCTCCCATTTACTTGATTGCCTTTTATTTTGTTCATGGTTTCCTTTGATATGCAAAAGCTTTTAATTTTGGTGTAGTCCCAATAGTTTATTTTTGCTTTTGTTTCCCTTGTCTGAGGAGACAGATCCATAAAAATGTTGCTGAGACCAATGTCCAAGAGATTAATGCTTATGCTTTCTTTTAGGGGCTTTATGGTTTCATGTCTCATGACTAGGTCTTTAATCCATTTTGAATTTATTTTTGTGTATTGTGTAAGAAAGTGGTCCAGTTTCATTCCTTTGCATGTAACTGTCCACTTTTTCCAACACCATTTATTGAAGAGACTGTCTTCCTCATTGTATATTCTTGCCTCCTTTGTTATAGGTTAATTGGCCACATAAGTGTGAGTTTATTTCTTGGCTCTATATCCACTTCCATTGGTCTGTCCTTTTTTGTGCCAGTACCATACTATTTTGATTACTATAGCTTTGTAGTATATATTGATACCTGGATTGTAGTATCTCCAGCTTTGTTTTTCTTTCTCAAGGTTGCTTCGGCTATTTGGGGTCTCTTGTGGTTCTATACAAATTTTAGAATTCTTTGTTCTAGTTCTCTGAAAAATATTGCTGGCATT